TTCTTTTATTTAATCTCTCTCTCTCTCTCTCTCTCTCTCTCTCTCTCTCTCTCTCTCTCTCTCTCTCTCTCTCTCTCTCTCTCTCTCTCTTCTCTCTCTCTCTCTCTCTCTCTCTCTTTCTGAACTTTTCTTTATTCTAAATGAAAATCAGTAACACATGATTAGTATTCATTTATCAATTCTGCTCTGCCTTTCTTCTACGAGTAGTGCATGCATTTAGCTTTTAGCGTTAGTTTCATTACTATACACGCTGGATTGTCAAGGGCCTGAAATTCTTGCACTTAAACAATAATGCGAAAATTCTATAAAAGGAATAACATATTTTTTGTCTTTCAGGTGTAGATACCAAGATGTAAATCCTGATGAACTTCCGATCAATTTTAACGTCCAGTGTTTAGCCAGCTCAGACAGGCCGTTCCCAACGTGGACGAAGGTAAGGATGCAGCTCCATGTTATCTTCATTTTTTACGTCATCATGTGTGGCATTATAATAATGAAATATAACACACACACACACACACACATATGTCATATATGTCCATATATGTATACATATCAATATATATGCATATACATATATATATATATATATATATATATATATATATATATATATATATATATATATATATATATATATTTATATATATATATATTTATATATATATACACACCAATATGTATGTATATGTAGATGTAGATGTATATCTATATCTATATATATATATATATATATATATATATATATATATATATATATATATATATATATATATATATATATATATATATGCATATATATAAATGTCTCCGACATTGCCCATTGCCATTTTTTTCTTTTTGATGCTCACAAGTATGTCTTCCACTTCTGTCTGTTCCCTTATCTACGTCGCCCTCATCCGATCTCTTAGGCCAATTCCCAGCATCAACCTCTCCATCCCTCTCTGGGGCCTTACTAGTTTCCTCTCCAGTAATTTGGTTGTTGTCTGTACGAGTTGCCTTAGTTATATATACTTGTCCACTACTTCTAGCGCTTCGCCTTGTGCATGTATCTGTTCGAATTGAAGTCTACTGTTGAACATGATCTTAGTCTTTTTCTCGTTCATCCTAAGTTAGAAGTTAGACTTTCAGACTTTCTCTATTCAGATCGTTTATTAGTTGCTACGTTTCATTTGCAAATTCACTGAAACGAACGAAAATATTTGCAAATCTTAGATTGTTTAGGGTATCTATTTTAGATCCTTTCTGTCCTCTTTTTTTATGTATCAAAATAATTATTGCATTTTCAAAGTTTTTCCCGTTGAGAAGGCAATTGTTAAAAAAGTAGATTAGTTTCACTGTTGCTTTTTCTCCTGCATCTATTATAAGATTTTATTTCTTCTGTTGTGATGTTAGGTATGTCCCTAGTTACCGCGTTCGCTTCTATCCGTGGCTGTTCATTTGAGTTATATAGATCCCTGCAAAAGTCTTCCAGTACTCTTATGATTTCATTCTTATTATATGTCACTTCTCCGTCTGATTTCTTATTGCATACATTTGATTTCTCCCTATTACGAGTCTCCTTTTAGCTGTTTTCATGCTGGTGCCTGAGATCACTGTTTCATTTATTATTTGAGTATTGAATTTCCATCTTCTCTCTTCTTTTTATTTATAGTTTTTGTTAGTTCAGCTAGTTCTATTGTGTCCCTGTTTGACGATACTTTCATGACCCTACATTTCTGTATAAGCTGTTTAGTTTCTGCTGCCGCATGCTTGCTGGAGCTTTGCTTGACGTTCTTACCGTGTACTTCAAGTGCAGCTTCCTTTATTATGTCACTGAACTGTTTGTTATTTTGGTCAAAGTTGAGATCTTCGTCGCTGAGAAGTGAATATCTGTTTTGGATGCTAAGGTTAAATTCTGTCGCTCTGGTCTTCGGGTTAGCTAAATTTGGCTGCGGTTTTCGTATGAGTTTGTTCCCTTCCCTTCTGAGGTGTAATTTAATTTGACCATTCTGTGGTGGCTGCCAACCTTTACTTTATTAATAACTTCCACATTGTTTTACTACATCGCGCCTATTTGAAATGTTGAAGTCAATTTCGTTTTTGAAGTCATATGGCGAATTCCATGTCCCCTTCCGCTCTTTTTTGTTTCGAAGAATGTATTCATGATATTGATTTATCGAGCCTCCGCAAAATCGAGTAACATTTGTTCCCTCACCCTTGCTTCCGGGGAATGAGGACCGTTGCTCTGTCTGTGCAACCATGTTTTTTATTGAGAGACAGCCGAGTTACCCCCCACCTACTGACTTTGGTGTATCTCGGTGTGAGGGGGAGTTGTTTAGCTGGGATGCCACTGATAAACCCCTTAAGTAGGGGTGGCCCTCTAGTGTGGACTTATGAGCAGCAACGCACGGGCCTGCTCACTACACCGGGTATACTCCCGTGAGCATGGGCTTGAGTATAAGAAGTGCATATAAGTGTGATTATATTATGTATTTCATTTATGCGTATACCTAGTGCA